ACACCTTATATCTGATCTGTGATGTTGGAGGGAATAGCTCTAAATTAGATTGAGATTGAAGCTTTTCTAACACTGAGTTGTTATGGTTTTGTTTTTTCTACAGAAGCCTAACCAAAAGATCACAGGATCTGCCCAAGTAAAAGAGAAATTTGACAAAGCTTAAGTAATTGGAAAAAAAAAAAAAAAATGTTACTTTCCTATATATGCCCCAGGGAAATTCAGAATATTCAGCAAACTCATTACTAAAAGTAAACAAAATAATATGATATTACTATTAGGAAGAGAAGTACTTCATTAAAGTGATCACAAGTGAGAAATTAAGGAGAAGGACACTAAGCATACACTCCATATTGTATTTTTAATAATAATTAGGAGACTTTAAATCAAAGAGCAAACTATACAAGATTAATAATGATGGCACTCAGTATAGCCGATTTACAGCATATTATAGTAGTAGTAACATGGGCTACAGAATGAGAAAGACCAAGATTCAGTAAAGTATTTTGATGAATGGCCCTCAATTTGGTTTTATCTGATGTTTTGTCATAAATTCGACTGAAGCCATAAATTACTGGAAAGGCTATCACGGAACTGTATTTTAACATAATTGAAAGTATTTTCTTCAAACAATTTTGAAATTGTATTTTTTCAACATATTATATCATACAGTTTATCTCTTATCAATAACATTTTTCATGGGCATTATTTTCTCATCTGAGGAGATAGAGACAATAAATAGATTATACTGATATATAAAATAGACTAGTGCAGTAATATGACAGTATGGCTCAGATAACTTTTAAAAGCTATGACGATGTCTACTGTCATCAAGAAATATTAATTGGGTAGGAAGAATTTGAGCTAGGCTTTGCAAGGTAGGAAAATATTGCTAACCAGGGAGGGTGAAACTTTATACATCAGGCAAAGAGGCAGAGGAAGGAATAGATTAGGAATAGGAACCCATAGTATGGCATAAAGATGCTGTAAAGCCATCACCCAGCAGATTTTGAAATCTTTTCAAAAATATTGTATTCTATTCTAAAATATAACTGTGAAGTAGGTGTCATCATCTTATTTTCACTAATAAAATTAATTGAGGCATAAATAAGTTGAATGATTTTTTACTAGACCACTCAGTATAAACACTACATGAAAAGTCAAATCCAGATTATTTGGATTTCTAATTTTATTGTCTTTCCATTACATTTTTAAGATTCTCTAATATTAACTTGGAATAAATTGGTGTTGAAATAAAAAATTATTCCATCTAGGCCAGTCACAGTGGCTCATGCCTGTAATCCCAGCACTTTGGGAGGCTGAGGCAGGTGGATCATGAGGTCAGGAGATCGAGACCATCCTGGCTAACACACGTGAAACCCCCCCCTGTCCTCCCGCCAAGTAAAATACAAAGAAAATTAGCCAGGCCCAATGGTGCCCGCCGCCCCTGTAGTCGCTAGCCTACTCCGGGAGGCCCTGAGGCCCAGGAGGAAGTGGTGTGAACCCCGGGAAGCGCGGAGCCTTGCAGGTGAGACCGAGATGGCACCACCGTGCCACTAAACCCTGGTGACCCAGAGTGGAGGATCCAGTTTAAAAAAAAAGAATTATTTCCCCCCCCATCCCAAAAGATGTCCCCCTGATTTATTGTGCTCCTCCCCTGTGACCCCCTCTCCAGATCTCACCCCATGGGAAATGCCCCACCCAGTAATGCCCCCCGCTTCTAACACAGGTACCCTGAAGCCAGGATTAATGATGAAATATGAACTAGATGGGATAGGACGTTGAAAACCCCCCAGTGGCCTACTGTTGCTAGCATGGGGCGGCTATTACCACCCCTATTAAGTTGATTATTACCCCAGAAAAGATATCAGAGGAGATCCCAGAGTCCCCAAAATAGTACTGTAAAAATATATTTAAGTGGAAATTTGGCCTTATGGACAAAAAAATTATTTCCCAGGTAAACCAAAATTCCCCTCAAAAGTAGGCTAAGCATTCCCATCCAATACACCTTAGCTGCCCCTAGTTTATGGACTACCCTCTGTAGGTAAGAAAAATATAAGTGATGGGTTTGTTCCGCATGCTATATGCCTTGATAACCATTGTAGCCAGGACTGAAGGCGCACCTCAGAGGGAAATTAGGCCAAAGGAGGCTACATGATATGCTCAGGGACCATCCGATCCCCTAACCCTCAGCCCCCACTCCCATCTTCCATCCCTTCATATGCCCCCCATCCCTGTTTGCTGGATGTTTCCTATCATTACCCATACATTTATGTGCCCCCGCCCAAATTTCATCTTGTCAATTTAAGCAAGGCAGCCTAAGATTACCCAGTATGGGTCCTCTGCCCTCTTGGTACTTCCATTTTTAGGGGAGTACTTGCCCCCCCCTCACCCATCTGATTTCAACACCACACCTTAACCATTGCACTGAATGGACCCAGGACAAGTATTTTGACTCCATGAAAGTCCTGTTGGATTTGTGATCCCTGTATCCCCCTCCCCCCCTCTTGACCATATATTCCTCTTTATTCATTCTCCCCCTTCCCACGCAAGAGGGGGTAGCCCAAATATGGTATTTTTTTTTTTTTTTTTTTTTTTGAGAACAGGAGTTTTTGCTCTTGGTTGCCTAAGCCGGGAGGCCAAGTGGCCGCCCGATCTCGGCTGCCCAGTGAAACCCCTTCCACCCCCAGGTTACCAATCCGATTCCGCTCCCCTGCCCTCGCCCCCTCCCCAAGTAGCCCCTGGGATTACCCCAGGTATGTACCACCCCACACTTGGCGTAATTTTTGTATTTTTGTAGAAATGAGTTTCCACCCTATGTTAGCCCCCAGGCTGGTGGTTGCGAACTCACTGAGCCCCTCAGGATGAATCGCCCCCGCCTCCCGGCCCTTCCCCAAAGTGCTGGGATACAGGCGTGAGCCCCACCATACCTACCCCCCCGGGGGTTAGCTAAATATAAAACCAGGTCCCACCCCCAGTGATTTGATTGCCATTTCACTTTGTTCTCCCTTTAGAAGTTCCGTCCTCTAATTGTTGTCCTGAGAAAAAGTCAATTAAACCTATTGGACCTTAAATACCATGTGGGATCAATTATAATTCTCCAATTAACTGTGCCATTTTCTGGGTTGCTCATTACCATTTGGGGAAAAAACTTGTTATAGTGGAATGAAAGTGTGTCTCCTGTTCCCCTCCATGTTTATTCCATTTCGGTTAGTCTAGAATACCGTTAGACCACGTCCCCCACCCTGCCATCCTCCAAGATCCCATAGCCTAACCACCTTCTCCTATGTGAATGCCCCTTGGGTCCTGTCCTGCCCCCCCCCAAACCCCATTTTCCCCTGTCACCAAGAGGACTTGTTACTGGCCATCCCTCTCCTACTGTCCCCACCTGCCAAGAGCTAACACATTACTATTCCAATACATGTCCCCCTAGTTCACCCTCTGCTAACCCCCCCACCCTTTTGCATGGCATGATTGTTCAAATCCCCCACGAGGTAGACCCAATATCCCTGTTCCCTCCCCCCCCCTCCTTTTTCCAGAAGGGAAAATACTTAGAACCCCTTAGAGAAGGAGAAAGATGCCCTTTTCCCAATCCCACAGTGTGTTCCAAACCCAACCAAGTTCCCTGAGACCCACCAGGCACTGCCCCCCTCAACACCGCTGTCCCCCTGAGCCTTTCTCAGAGCCAGGTTCCTGATGTGTTCTGAGCTCATAAGCCTTTAATGAGATAAACAAGCTAGAGAACCCCAGAAATGTTTCTCAAAATTGAGATCTTTCAACACCAGTATCTTTTACAAAATATAGATTCCCAGGGAAACACATCCCCCCACCTCATACTTACTGAACCAGAATCACAAGAAGCAAGACCCAGGAACTAGTGCTTGAATACCATCCAGTGGGGGTTACATGCTTAAAAGTTGAGATCTTCTGTCCTGTGTCTTTCTTACAGGGCACCTCAAGTGTATTTAACAAAGTCTCCCCAGAGACAATGCCCTGACTTCTGGTGGTCTAGCCCTAAAATGTAACTCGGATATGATCTGGATTTGAGAGAAAACTTTTTGATACACTCAAAGCTCACCTTTTGACTGACAATTTATTTGATGAAGTTTCAGCTGCCTCTGGCTGAGTTCCGAGCCCTATGTCACAGAAAGCACATAAAAGCAACTAATCTGCTGATCTTTTTTGTAGCAGCCACAAAAAGAGATACTCTATTCAATTAAAATGTTTGTTGATTTTCTATTCTTTGCAGATAATACAGAGGTGAAAGGACAGGGTTCCTGTCCTGAGAAAGGCTGGAGTAGATACAGATAAGAAAATAATCAATTCTCTCTCTCTCTCTCTCTCTCTCTCTCTCTGTCTCTCTCTGTCTCTCTGCCCCTCCCTCTCTCCTTCCCTCCCTCTCTCTCTTCCCCTCCCTCTCTCCTTCCCTCCCTCCCTCTCTCCTTCCCTCCCTCTCTCTCTTTCTCTTTCACACACACACACTCCCATGAGCCAACTCAACCTGTCTTCATCATTAGAATATCACGTTTGAGTTCTAGTGCTTAACCAATGTAAAACTGACTTTTCACCATCTCCCTCCTTTCTTTTTTCTTAATAAGAACCTTCAACTTCCTAGACCAATCTCTTGTCTCTTCCCTTCTCCTTGTGTTGATGTCATACTCTTGCATGTATTGAACCCTTCCATTATCAAAAATAGATGTCTAAATGTCATAAACTCAGCATCTGCCTTGACAGAAGATATCCCCATAGCAAATCCACTGATATAAGAAAAAATAGGCGAAACCTAGTATCAACAAGTAGAAGTCCAAAATACTTAGATGATGAGTCAGTCAGCTTACTCATTAAACACTTGAATAAAAACTTTCCAGCAATAATTTCCTCAATATGATATTTATTTGAATATATAACACTGCATTAAAATTTGTTAATTTCTTCCCCTCCCCAAGATCAAAGGAAGTAATGAATAATGAGAATCAACCCACACCATTCAAACTCAAACCTACCATAGAACTCTGGTTGGCAAATCTCAGTCAGTGATTCCTCCTGGTTCCCAAGCCAGAGCATAGGAGGTTTCGTCTACTGTGCTCTAAATAAATGTACAGCCTTCTGAAATGCAACAGGTCATTAACATAATGAAAAAGGAAATACAGCCTCCCCCTAATTCAGACTGCTCACCTCATCTTCCCTGAAGTGAGTTCTCATCCATTTGTTTCAGGACATGGACAAACTGTCTAGTATCAAATACTCACAAATAGAGATTGGAAAAAAAAGAAAAATTCGATGATGCCTATGTGATTCTCAAGCTCTGTACAAATAAAAAATTCGTCTTATACTGAATCAGGTGACGAAAGAAACCATTTCTTTCTTTCGTTTTTTTTTTTTTTTTTTTTTTGAGACGGAGCCTTGCTCTGTTGCCCAGGCTGGAGTGCAGCGCCCAGATCTCAGCTCACTGCAAGCTCTGCCTCCTGGGTTCACGCTATTCTCCTGCCTCAGCCTCCCGAGTAGCTGGGACTACAGGCGCCCGCCACCTCGCCTGGCTAGTTTTTTGTATTTTTTAGTAGAGACGGGGTTTCACTATGTTAGCCAGGATGCTCTCGATCTCCTGACCTCGTGATCTGCCCATCTCGGCCTCCCAAAGTGCTGAGATTACAGGCTTGAGCCACCGCGCCCGGCCAGAAACCATTTCTTATCTGGAGTTACTCCCAAATAAATGTTGTACTTGTGACTTTCATGTGGACTCAGCTTTCCGGGTTTCAAATGCTACTTACTATAATCTAACTACAAATTCAGCTCCACCTACTTTTGTTTTCGGGTAAATAATGAGTGTATTTTAGTTGGAAGGAGTTTCCTTCCATATATATATTTTTTAAAAAAACAAAACCTTAAGCCTTACTCTTGGTTAACTTCATGTGGTTCAACTAAAGTCAGACTTAGAGTTTTTTCTTTGAAGCAGGATAGACATCACTTAGGTTGCCTATCTTCTTAACAATGCCATGTTGGCTTTTTTCCATGTGACATTTAATTCCAACCCCTAGAAATAATTTGTAGAGAGAGCAAATTTGCCACATGTACAGCAATTAACATGAAAAATTTTCCACACACATAGAAAAGCTCATGATATGGTCTGGAAAACAAGTCACTTCCAACTTGTGGAAAACTGGAGGTGTTCTTGCCTTTAAGGCAAGATCTGCCTCCGATAGTCATTCTAGTTATTCTGAACCTGTAACTGCCTCTCCCTGTTTTATTTTGAGATATTTATCATGTGTGATCAGTTGAAAGTTAACCTGGTGTAACACAAAAAGAAAAAAAAAACTCCTTTGCTTGAATTTGTTCACAAAGGACATCCATTCTTAACAGAAAACATAGCTTTTGTTTTCCAAATCACATGTGAGTTGTTTAATTATGAAGTTCCTAACAATGATGGCAATTTGAACAATAGTTACAAATGCATTGGAAACTATTGCATCCTTGGCCAACCATATGTGACACAGAACTCCATTATTTGCCATCATCAAATATGAAGAAAATAGTGGGGAAGGAAATCATAGCAGTTGAAAATTGTACTTATATAAAAGAAATCTGGCTTATCTTATGGGTTCCTACTAACAGAGCTATGTAACATTTTGCTGCCAGTTACTAGCCAAGGTTTTGTATTATGTATATGGGCCACATAAAACTGAAAAATCAGCTGCTTCCACACATACCCCCAATTGCCTATATAACACTTCTATCTCCCCTTCAGGATCTAGCTTGATGTGTCCTCACGGATGAGTCTGTCTGTCCAATAGCTCCGTCCACGGGTGGCCAAGCATCTGCATCCCTCTAAACACCAATCCCTGTAAGAATCATTAGTATCGACCCAAGTTTCATTTCTCCTCGCTGGCCTTAAAGAAATCTTTTCGATGTTTGCTGTGTCCCTACCTGTCCTGTAGTGCTGGAGCTGGCTGGAGAGAGGCAGTAAAGGCCATGAGGCTGCCCTGTGGGAGACACTGGCTCTGCACAGAGCTGGGGGAGGGCACATTGCTGGCAGCTGGAGGAAGAGGAGGAGGAGGAATTTGTGTGCCACTGCAAACAATACACAGTGCCAAGAAAAACACCATCCTTTTTCCCAAGAAGTTCAAAGCACTTTGCAAACATTAACTTATGAGCTCACATAGTCATGAAGCAATTATTACTTTATTACACCCTTAAGATAACTACTGCAAGCAAGGTGACTAGGAAAAAAAGAATGCATTCATTGTTTCATTATTCCTTGGCTATTTATTGCATACCTACTATGTGCTGGGCACTGGAGGTGAAGGAGCTCCTATGGGTTCTCACACTACTCCATGTTCTTTTGCCAACCCAGTTAGGGCACTAAGCACCTGGCTACACTAGTTATTATGTTTATTTACACTTTATTTTTGCCCAAATTGTTTAATGGAATGTGCTCCATTCTTCAGAATGCCTATAATGTGCTAAGTGCTAAGCGAACAGACGAAAAAGTTTTAAAGTCACCTATAAATCTCATTACCACTTTAGGAACTGGGGAATAGCAATTCAAAGTGCTTTCTTTTAAGATGCTGTAAACAAGCTTTAGTGTGTGCAATCTTTGTCTCTTTCAAAGTCTGTGGAATTGCCATAGTGAATAAGGAGAGTTAAGATCAGTAATATCGTGCCGAATAGTTTATATAAATAATCTATATATTTTAAATCATTAATTAGATGAGCAAGCATGTTTGGTGATGCAGAGAGCCTTTATCCATGGGTCTTTTCATGATCTCCCTTTTATTGTGACAAAATGGCAGGTCAGATATAGAAAGTGGTTGATGCCGTTTCTAAATTCTTCTCCTTAGGCATCGGACTCCAGATATTTTAGAGTATATGTTGTCTAAGACTAATTGGACAGAAGAGGCTGGTGGCTGCTTTTAAAAAATGCATGACTTTTTGATGAATCGAAAGGGACTCAAGGTGTTGTCTTTTAAAGATGCAAGCTAAGGATTCTAGTCTGTTCAGGTGTTACCCACACAACAGGTGGGATAAATTGCTAGGCAGTTGACAGTCCAATGACCACAACCATGGAGGATTTAAGAGGGAGATTTTATTATTTGCAACAAGGAAGGAGGACATCTGGGATAGTTCCCCAGGCAGTGCCTCCAGGAACAACAGTAAAAGCAGGGCTTGTATTAGGCTGGTTAGCTGAGTCTTTGTATGTGGAAGTGGTGTAAAGGCAGGGCAGTTGCCTGCTGATCATGCTTCTACATACACTGCGTGTACAGGAAATGGCAAATAAGCTCCTCCCTGAGCAGGGTTTGTTACTATGGTTAATGAGGAGAGTTGGCCAAAGTTCATCTCCAACTCAGGCATCTCTGGATCCAACCAGTTTTAGTGTTTCCAGGGCTGAGCTTCTTCCCAGGGTTTTTTGAAATAAGAACTCAAGATACAACAGTCACAAGTGGGGATTTCCTCACAGTGCATACCCAAAACCCTGGAACCCTGGGTTACACAGGGAGTCACTAACCCACCCTAGTTTGGACTGAACATAGAGGCTGTTGTGGTTCTCACTTAGACATTTACATATATTTTTAAAGTCATAGAGAATGGTAATGCCACTTAAAACCCAACATTCCTCTCTAATAAATACTTCTCTGACAAAACAGAATATAATGGATGTATAATATTGATCCAACACTCAAATGTATTGGTTACCACACATACCCCATGAAATTCAAGCTCCATATCTTAGCATTTAAGTAGCACCGTCCTCTGGCCCCTAAGTACCTTTCCAGTCTCAGCCTCATCCTCATCCTCCTTATCACTCTGGCCGCAGCATAGGTTTTCATAATAGTATGTGATTCTTACCTGGCATCCTCTGTCTTGAAGCCTGCCCCTGCCCAGCTCCAATAGACACACACACACACACACACACACACACACACACACACACACACCTTTTCTACCTGAAAAACTTCATTCTTCAAGAGCACATGATGTCTTCTTAGCCAATTTATTCCCAAAATATATCATGTATAGAGATCATATCTTCTTCCTTCATATCTTCAGCAACTGGTATAAATCTTTGTTGAATGTGGATTTTCAAGAACACATCAATATAGCACTTACTAATGAGGGCAAGGTGATCAATTACTTGGGTTTACTCTTCAGCTGGTTGCACAAATGGGATTTTAAAAAAATCTTTTTATTAAGCAGAGCTGCTAATAAAGAGAATAAAATCAATTAAATAAATTATTAAGTTAAAAGCAGATCTATTATTCTTTATTAAAAAGGTGCCACATTAATAATACCATTATTACCCAGCTTCTCACACCTTAGATAGCAAAAAACTTCAGAGCCTGGGCCATGTTCTATCTACTCCAAATATAATAATAGCACTGAAGGGAAAACTATATACCTGTGGAACTGCTACAGGAGGATGAAAAATGGCTAAACATCAACAGCAATGACAATGCAAGCTGAAACTGCTTATTTCTAGTTTCAACTTACATAGGAAGAGAACAGAATAAAGGGACAGGGAAGGATCCAGAACAAAAAAGAAAAGGAGGAGAGGAAACCAAGGGAATGGCTGCTGGAAAAGATTATCCTTACAATTAGGTTCTGCCATTTTTCTCTTTATGAAAGTGAGAAATAGAGACATTTCTATTGATTGCACAGAACAGAATGACCAGCAGTTGGAGATAAATACTACTTAGTAAAAAGTTGTCCTATCTTCAAAGGCTTTTGCAAAAATTAGGGGCTGCTGATCTCTTCCAATATTTTAGGGAGAGTCCTGTCATTATCTAGATTTGAAACATTGATGTCTGTTTTTCAGTTTTACTCAAAATAAACTTAGGGAAATCAATAATTTAACCTGTGCATGGCGTGTATATTTAAAACCACATACTTTTAGTGGGCATAGTGAAGTACTCCTGCAAATATTCTTAGTTCACTGGATCCTCACAGCAACCCTTCAGGGTGAGTATGGCATCTTTTTACAGATAAAGAGACTGAGTCTCAGAGAGATTTAGTATCTTGCAGAATTAATACATAAACCCCAACAGTCTAACTGTACTCTGGGGATTCTTTCATCAAATTACAACACTATGTGAATACTTTAAGAATTATTATAGATGCAGCTTTTATTCTTTACAGAACAAAATGCTGGCACTTTATATTATGCACCCAGATTTACTGAACAAGAGGTCTGTATGTTATATAAAATGATTTTTTTCCTTGATACCTGGAAATTACCTGAGAATCCCGATGCCATTTAAGGAATGCATTCCCAAGTTAATTAAACCTCATCAACACACAAGCAAATATTTATTTTCAGTTCTAAAAGCTTTCAGCCTTAATTCATTCTTTAGCAGACAATGCAAATTCATGTTTCCCGCCAAATCCAGCAGAGGGCAGGATACTCCCACCAACAGCCAGCAGCTGGCTCGTGCCTCTAGCCAAGCCAGTGCAGTTACCTGGTGCAGTGTTCCCGCACTGGAGCAATCATCACCTTCTCACCTGGATCTGAAATGCAGTGTAGGCTTGTGCTGAAAATAGGGAATGTGGGATGTGCCCTTGGAAACGTCCAGAAAAATTTTGACTTAGAGGCCGCTCACATTTTGTTTGATCTAAAGATACCTGGAAACTAGCCAGTTCCAATTATGTTCCTGGAATATCTTGCTGAGGATGCTACGCTAAGGAATTAATTTAAGATATACCATGATAGTTTCTGTTTCCGGCTTTAGGCCATCGCAGGTCATAGCTGAGCTACTCCACTCTTGGGCTCCATACCTGTTTCCCATACCTTCTATCTCCCTGTGTCCCAAACAACTCTTAAGAACTACCCATTGCATGACCTCCTCTGTCTGTCATCCCTGCATAACCTCCACTAATCAGACACAATGACCTCCTGCCCACTAATTCAAATTCTCCCCAAGCCCGACTTATGGGCCACCTCCTCCAGGAAGTTGCTGGAGGTCCTGGCCCCAGTGGTCATCATCAAGAAACACTTGCCAAGGTCAAAGTCAAAGAAAATATAAAGAAGAATCTCTAAACTCACTTTTTCATTTGGGAATCCCAGAATTGCACTTTGAGTCATACACAAACACAGGGGTGGTCTTCAGTGTGTCTGAAGCACAAAGAGAAGGTTGGGAGTTTCACTGAAAAGAGAAATGTTATGTTATTTTGAAAGAAAACTCATTGGCACTAGCAAAGTTTCGGGGGGCTGGCAAGCTCTGATTGGTGAGTGACGGTGGTAGGTAAAATTAATCTTAGAGTCTCAGCAGTTTGTTTCAGCAACTGGACATGTGGACAATTCTTGGGGTAGCTGTTATGTGCCCCTAGTCATTTTCCCCCTTACCCCTTGAATCTGATTTAGTTCGGTATGACAATAATAAATCAATGTGTGTAGTTAACTTTCACAGTAAGCGAACTATTAGGTGAAGGTTTTGTACTAGAGCTTGGATCTAAAAAGATATATCCCATTCCTTCCAGTCCAGATAGTAGCATGGTAAATGTAACATGGAAGAGAGCAAGGATAAATGTCACAGTTCACAGGAGAGAACAGTGCTTCTGAAGGTGGCAGAATATTGTAGCAAACTTCTAGAATTTTCAAACTATGGATTACAAGTTTGTCATTAGGACCTCAAAGGCTCCCAGGGTGAGGTGGCAGTAGAGGAAGGGATGGGTAGTTGGACCGGCTTTGTACCACCCCCAAACCCACTTCCCTACCCTCACTTCCACCCACCTCCAACCAGATTAAAACAATGCCATTTTAACCTGTAGTATTTGTGTACACCTCTAGATACTACATAAAGAGTTCCAAAAGGGGATCCGCAAGTAAGCAAACAATCCACCCACCAATAATCATAACAACAACAAAACAAATTTTTAAAAAACAGTTTAAAAATCACTGTTCTAAAATTCAAAGGCCTTTCTTCACTGTTGAGGAAACCATTCCTGGAGAGGAGGAATGACCAAACTAAGTTGTAGGTTGGTCAGTGAGGGAACTGGAATTTGAATTCC